GTACACTAAAATAATGTGAAAATTTATGTAGGCATAAATTAAGTTCCTATAATTGGGTTAGTCATTTCTTTCCCAAATGAGTAAACTACAATATGCAATACAAAAAAAAAAAAAAAGCCATGGAATGTTAGAGCTGAAAGTGAGCTTACAGATCTCCTGCCCAGCCCCTACCTTTATAAAGCTGCAGCCCTGGGACCCCAACAAAATGACTTACAAAGGTCACAGATCCCATTAGTAACAGAACCATACCCAGGTATCTAATCGTTATGTCTAGGGATTGTTCCCCATTATACTATCATTCTGTCTCTGCTCATATGGAAACAGTGCCCTGTAGTGCTTCCCCAGAGAAATCTCGATCTGAAGACTGTTGCCTTTCATTTCCCTAGCACATAAGCATTCAAGACTCATAGACTAATAGAGTTAGATCATCTAGCTCAGGAGTTGCAACCTGATTAAATATAGGCTCTGAATGTATTTTATTTAGTTAGCACATTAAAAAAAAAAAAGAAGGCCATTTGAATGGGGTGAGGCTGCTATATTTTGCCCCAATCTCTCCAGCCCTATTAACCCATTTCCAACAGCTTTATACTTTTCTGTTTTCTCCTTGGTCTCTGACAGCACTTGAGCCTGTGATCCCTGAATCCGGATCAGGCATAATTAATAGCACACCAAAGGAAACCTAGTTGATGGAAATGTGAAATATGGCATTATATTCTACCATTAGCTATTTTCATTGCCTCGCCAATAAAAATCCATTTCGGTTTTTTTAGGTTGACTAATTATATCAGAGGTCTGCCAACTACTACCAGACAGACAAACCCAACTTGCTGCCTATTTTGGCATGCCTCCCTCCCCTAGCTGAGGTGAGAATGGTTTTTATGTTTTTAAACAGTTGAAAAATTCTAAAGCAGAAGAATATTTTGTGACATATGAAAAATTTTTTAAAGATTTTATTTATTTATTTGACAGAGAGAGACACAGTGAGAGAGGAAACACAAGCAGGGGGAGTGGGAGAGGGAGAAGCAGGCCCCCGGCCGAGCAGGGAACCCGATGTGGGGCTCGATCCCAGGACCCTAGGATCATGACCTGAGCCGAAGGCAGTTGCCACCATGCCTCTCTCCTAACGAAAAACATTTTTAATATTCCCTCTATCTATGAAGAAAAATCTGAAGTATTTAACAGCTCCCTGCACAATTAAGGCCTCAACCTTCCAGTCCAACCTCATCTCCCAAAATGTCCTTCCTGCAACCTATCCATTGCAGATAACTTGAATTACCTGCTGTCCCTTTACATCTTCTAGGTCATTCCTACTACATGAAATGCCTCGTCCCGAATACAGTGCAACACAGTAAAGTAAGCAGGGCCTTTAGAGTCAGGTCTGGGTTCTAATTCACACTCTCGCCCTTATTTGTTGAGAAAGTTACTCAGCACCTCTGAACTTCAGTTTTCTCATCTATACGGTGGGAACAATCCTTACCTCATAAGGCTGTTACAATATTTTAATGCCTGGCACTGGGAACAGTTAACAAGCAGTAAGTATGATTTCTGTCAAATACAATGCTATTTCCTCCTTTCCTTTTCCTTGCCTTCCCACCAAGAAATGAGCTCTCCTGCTGGTGTCATGTACCCTGATATCCACCCGTTTCATTCTTATGGCTCTGATCCATATCTACTGCCTTACATGATAGTGATCTCTACCCATGTCTTTTCTCTCCTACTAATCTAGGAACTCTCTGATGGCAGGATCCATGTATGACTAAGCCTGCCACATCTGTGACAGCCCTGAGGACAGTGGCTTGATTATAGTATGTGTACAAGTATTTACTGAATGAATGGTATGTGTTCACTGAACTATATATATCATTTATTAGGTGTATCATGTTGCCTTGTGATATAAGCAGGAGCCACGTCACTTCTTCTGAATAATTCCTAGCCTGAGTGCCTAGAAAATATTCAAACACCACCAGGGACCAAAACTGCCAACATAAAAACAAAGGACAAACAGAAAAGCAGGCAATATGTTCACCTTTCAGAGTCATGGTGTTTTTATTTTCCACTAGTTTAAATTATAAGCATCATCTTGTACCCCAACGATTATAAATAAATCACATTTAAAGGGGGGAAATCAACTACTTCCCCAAGGGAGACATGTTGAGTATTGTTCATAACATCAATTACCTCTGAGTACAGATGTAAGTAAATCTAAACACTCAAAAGGGACCTATGTTTAATGACTAAATCATGACACAAAGTTGTGACTTAAACCTTATCTGGAGCTCCGTACAAAATCAGACACAAGCAGGATAAATGTAGAAATCCAGTTCCACCTAGGCTAGCAACCTTTAGAAAAACTGCAGCTAGTTTTTGCAGCACAATGCACCAAGTTTCATTGGTTCCTAGAAACACTAGCCATTTGATTTGCTAGTCAATTTAGTGAGGTAAATGGAAAGGTGTCAGTCATTCTTTCTGATGTTAATGCCAGGCGCCAAATGCCAAAATGAATCCCCACACATGAATACAAAATTAATCGCTGAGACATGCCAATGTAGGGAGTGACATTTTCCAATAAGATGACAGCAAAAATTATGTTTCCAACTACTTCTGTTTATTCATTTCCCTTCAGAAACCTACTGAAAAATACACACTCACCAGCAGATACATTATTAGCCTAAAGGCATATTATCAACAACTTTCTATGTTTAGCTGTTTCCATTCAAAAAGCACTTTCATAATCCATTAACTCCTTTGCGTCTCACAACAACCCTGTGAGGTGGGTATAATCACCCCTATTTAACAGATGAAGTCAGCAATCTGCGCCATCTTATCCCAAGATGGCGAAGCCACGTCTTCTAACTCCAGTTCCAGCGTTCTCTTTTCCTGTTTCCTCCACACAAAGAAAAAGCATACCTTTGCTTTGCTTCCCAATTTACTCTCAAAAAGCTAGCACACTGTGAGGAAGTAGAGTGGGAGTATAAACATTACTGTGGTCAAGACAGTGGGAAACATCCCGCCTTTGCCTCTATCTAATCATGTTTTTAGAATCATGCAACTCAAAGGAAAGAAATGGAGTGTGGGTTAGCTGCTGGGTTTTATTTCCTCCCTGCCCTATTTTGGCTTTCTATGTATATTCGGAAACAGAAAACCACCCTGAATATCAAGAAACCCCACGGGCCAAATTATTTCTTGGATCTTCCACCCATCTGCAAAGGTTTAGGCCTGCTTAACTGTTGACTCTTACCAGCCTCAGTCTCAGAGAAGAAGGAAAGAGTAAGAACCACTACTTGCCCCTAGCGTACAAAAATCTGTCCTTCCTCAAATGTTAATGTTAATCTTAATCTCTCTGTATCTGGTCACTTTTTAGCACAAACAATTTCAGCTTACCATACACTTCACAAAACCATTCCCTTCCTGGGGCTTATGATGAGCTACATTTGACTGTAGATACTACACCAAGCAGTTTATCATAATAAGTAAAAATTTTAAAAAATCCAAACATTCTCCCCTTTTCCTTTCAATGAACCCTCAATCTTTCTAACTACTTTTGTGGCATAGCCTGCATATCTTTAACCCCTCAATGAATTCTATTAAGCGGCAACACACCCCAAAGCCTAGCCTATACGCCTCTAAGGATCAGCATTTCAAATACCCCATCTTTAAGGTGCTTCCAAGAGTGTGCTCTTGTTTAGACCACAATACGACAAAAAAATTAAATAATCAAACTCAATCAAATGACCAGCAGGAACTTGGGCAATTGATATACTCTCACCAAAGTGGGCAGACAACACTGGCAGTGAAAGCACAGATTCCCAGGAGCAAATCAAAAGAGCTGCACAAAAATACCAGCTGGTAGCTGTTACCACCGCACCCCCAAGCCTTTCTCCCTGCTCTTCATCGGTTCCATCTGCCTTGAGAAGGTCCCCACGCTGGACTCTGGACACAGTTTTTCAGGGATAAACCCATTCAGAACACAGTTATAAGCAGACGGGACATATTTACCAGTGACTCTGACCAGTGACTTTACTTTTTGCAACCACTTTTCAGCCAAGAAGAGAAAAAATTATCACTCCACCCAATTGCTATCCTCCATTCTTCTGGGTATATATACTTTGGCACAAAGGGCTGGCTTGCCTGCACTCTTGTTGGGAATATTTATTATTCTTTCTCTTACTCCAAGCCTTCTGCCAACTAGCAGAAATAAAAACTCCACACAGTGGGGAAGGGGGGGTAGGGTCCCACAGCTGCCAGCTGTGACCACTGGGAAAGCCAAGCTAGATGAGGTTCCTTCAGACCACTGGCCCTGAAGTATGCTCCCTGGGGGTTGGGCTCCTTATGCCAGGTACCAGGTAGGTCTCAGTTTCACCCCCAAGCAGAATTCAGTGGCACGTGAGGCCATCCAATAATTCTGGGCTTAGACCGACTCTGACCAAAACCATAGCTCAGGACCTTAAAGGAAAAAAGTCACTGGGGCAAAGGTGCTTTCCTTAGAAAACAGGTTGATACAGAGATTTTTTTTTTTTTTTTTTTTTTTTTTTTTTTTTACTGCCCCGACCCTCATCCGTTAGCAACCAGAAGCCAGGACAAAACCATTACTCAACCTGCCGGCTTCAAATCTCTCTTCTTTAGGAGGTGCTAGGGCAAGTTCCTTGGTCAGCTTGAATGTCTCCTTACCCAAGCCATGAGTACTAAACATGTCCAACAGTACAGGCAAATGGTCCCTTCAGAACACCAATCTGCCAAGTAAGGATAGGGGCAGAGCAAGGGGGTCCTTGGCACAGGTACAGATCAAGTCTTACAAAGTCAAGGCCACTAAAGTTCTAGTTATAGCCACCACCTTCCACTTCAACTGACGCCGCTTCCTAAGTGTTCGGAAACCCACTCGCCTCAGAGAACTGGATTGGGAAGCACCGTGAATCCTCCCTTTCCCCTGCGGTGTGGAAGAGCTGAAAGGCCAGAGCCACTAGCTCAGGGAAACAGCTCATCCATCGAAACCTTCCACTTACTTCTCATTGCGCTGATAAGCGCGTTGCCATCTTTGATCACGTCCTTAATGAATTTATTGGTTCTCTCCAGCTCCTGCTCGTAACACTTGAGCCTCTCGCGGAAATCGGGGCTGTCCAGGTAGCAGTCGCTGAACTCCAGAGGGGGATGCCCCATGGTTCTGATGGCGAGGGCTGAAAGGAGAGAGGAAAGACACAAAGACCAAGAGCATCAGCGGCACAGCAGGGGGGAGCAGATGGGAGGAACTGAGCGCGGGACCCGCCTGGGAAACTCGTAGCCTCCCTCCCTTTGGAGGACAGGTACCTGTTCCGTGGAGATTCCTGGGCAAAGCTGGCTGGTCTGTGCCAGAAGCGGGCGGCCGGCAATTGCTTCAGGTGACACAGAAAGCTAACTAACGCAGTCCGACCCCGGAGGGGTTCTGCCTAGCAAGCAGCATGCCCCCAAGGCATTGCCTCCCCTGACAGGCAGCCCAGCCTGCCTCCGGAGACCAGCGGGAGTCCTTCCTGAGCAACTGCAAACGTGACACTTCGGCCCGCCCAGGGTGGAGGCTGGGGTGGGCGCTGGGACGGGAAGCCTCCTCTCCTCGCTCCTCGTTCCCGAGCTAGCTGAAGATTTCCTTTGCCGAACTCCGCGGGCAACCCTGATTGCACTATCCCCTCCCCCTTCTTAAAGCCAGAGCTGCCGCCCCGCCCCAGCGAACCTTTGTGCGGAGCCCCAGCCCTCGGGCTCCTTCTTCGGCTGTCTTCCTCGCACCCTGGGATTGCGTGACCAGAGTGTTCTCGCTCCCAAGAGTTCTTCCTGGTCCAAGGGAGCCGGCCTGCTGTCCTGTTAGGCGTCGGAGGGGTTAAGCCCCGGCGGCAATTGAAACGTAGCCTTCCTCCCGAGACACCCGAGAGGGAAGAGGAGGGCGATATCGCTACGCACAATAGCTGCGGTAGCCTGGCGCTTGCCTACGGAAACTGGGGAGCAGTCGGCGCCCTAGGACTCCTGCTGGAAAGCGTGGCGGCCTGGGAGATGTAGTCTTTCCGTTTCTCGCCCCATGACTCCTCCCTGCGATCTCCCCACCACCCAGCCAGGGCGGAGGCTCTCCTAGCAAGACTTTCCCAGCCTGCCCCAGGCTCGCTCCCCAGGCCCAGCCTCGAGGGGCAGGTGCGCCACGCTGGAGCCTAAGAGGAAAAGTTTCCGAAACGAGCGAGAGAACCGGGGAGGCGTCGGTTGTGGGAGGCTATCTCTCACTTCCCATTACTTGGCTTTTTTTTTTTTTCCTTACTCTCTTTCCAGCTAACCTCTGAGGGAGCAACTTCCTTTTCCCTTCCCTTGCCCATTTCTCCTGATCCTAGTGTTCTAATTCCCATGGGCCCTCGACCTGGACAACCTCAAGGGTTGACTCCTACTCTAGGATCTCAGTGTTAGGCTCAGAACCCCCTGCCGAGGCCATAATTAGGAGTTCACTTTTTCCTGACTAGGACCTCAGAGTATGGTTTTTGTGATTCAATTCACTGCATAGGTTGTTCATTAAAGCACATGATTTTCCATGTGTAAGTGGAAAACCTAAGAAGAAGATGTTATAAATTGTCTTGCAGCTTGGCTAAGAGACCTCTTGTTCATTGTCCAAGGTAGGAGAACTGGGGCTACTCTTACAGGTGGATGCCTTGAGATTAAGAGCAGCTTCGCGGTGGAAAATCGTGTGTCCGTGGGCAAAAGGATCCATTTTTATTGTGGAGAAGTGTTTAGATTACGTTGCCTTGTGAAGAAAGCCAAGAAAAGCCAGAACTGAAGGGAGTTGTAAATAGGGTAATAATGGCTAACCCACCTGTATGGGTGTCCTATTTCTGCTGTAAAAAATTACCACAAACTTGGTGACTTAAAACAACATGAATTTATTATCTTAAGAGTTCTGGAAGTCAGAAATCAGAAATGGACCTCACTGGGTCAAAACCAAGATGTCAGAAGGCTGTGTTCTTTTCTGGAGGCTCCAGGGGAGAATCCACTTCCTTGCCTTTTCCAGTTTATAAAAGCTATCCACATCCCTTGCTTCATAGCCCTCTTCCTTCCTCTTCAAAGCCAGTAATGCCTGATCAAGTCTTTCTCCCACTGCATTGCTCTGACTCTGACTTTCCTGCCCGCTTTCGCTCATAAGAACCCACCAAATAACTCAGGATAATCTCCCCGTCTGAAGAGCCTTAACTTAATCACAGCTGCGATTATTTTGTTTGTCACATAAAGTAATATATTCACAGGTTCCAGGGATTAGGACATGGACATATTTGGGGGCAACATTCTTCCACCTTCCACACAACCTATAATTCTTTAAACCCATTTCACTAACCCTCAAAACAATCCTATGAGGTTAGTATTCTTATTATACCCATGTAAGGATACCTGAGTTGAAGAGAAGTTAAATGACTTGCCCAAAGACACACAGCTACTTAAGTGGCAGTGTTTGAACTTGAGCCTAACCTGGCTGGTTCCAGAGGCACTGCTTCTAACCACTACACTCTACTGCAGTTTGGTAAAGAATCCAGTGAAGAAACACCTTCAGAAAATTAATGAGTAGCCACGTCCCAGGGAAGGATTTTATTGCCTACTCCTTTCATCTTTATGAGAAAATGTCCAAATTGAGCTTTTAAAACACCGATGCAGGTACTAGGGAAGGTGCCCAATAAATGGGTGTATGGTCTTTCATTCTAGCAAGGTTCCTCATAGCATTCATTCACTAATTTGACAAGCATTTACTGCATATCTGCTATATGCCTTGACTTATAGTCTATACCTGTTTTCATCACTATGAATATTACCATTGACATTGATGTTAGGTACACTCTTACTTGTCTAATTTCCTATACCCAAAGTGTTTTTACAATCATCTGTTTTATCCTTTATCTAGACAATGAGGCTAAAGTGCAGAGGAAAACAAATGCCCTGGATCAAATACCAAAGAAGAAAGAGGATTAAAATGAGAACTCAGTCCTCAAATAATAGCTGCATTAATTGAGCATTATCCTAGATGCTTTGCATACATTATACCTCACCCTCACAACAACTCTAAAAGATTGGGATCTTCAAACTTGTATTCACATAACCCCTAGAAGAATTTTGAGAAGCTATGTACTCCCTCACATATTTTTAGGTTGACATCTAAATTTTTCATCATGTTTAAATAGTTGCAAAAGGTACAATATCCAGTATACTATACATATTGACAACTGAAAATAAAACTTTTATATTATGCTTTTAAAGATTTTCATTGGATGATAAATACCAGAGCAATTTGATGCCCACTATCAAACATTAAACACAAAAGTGTAAACTTTCCTTTAACCTTCAGAAAATTTGCATTGTTTCTTTCTTCTCCTTGAAATCAAATATCCATTGCATTCTCCCCATAGAATTGTATTCCATCATAATATATTTTTATACTTGAAAGTCTTCTATTGATCACCATATTGAATTTCTCTACAACAAAGATTTGTCCATAAATAGAAATTGAATTATTTTTATTTCTTTGTGATCATAGCCTCCAAGTATAAAAAATCTTCTAGATTCAGTTACAATTGCAATTGTTACGCAAACACAATAGATAAAAACAGCATGAAACTCTTATATATTGTGATTATTATTTTTTTCAGATCTCATAAACTTTATTTGTAACAACATGCCTCAAATAGCCATTACAAAATCAGGGTAACCTGAGATCCAACATCAAGGTCATAAACCATCATATCAATATGAACCATGTAATAGGATTGTGCTGCTATCCCTAGGATATCTTGTTCCACGGATCAAAGATTTGAGTCAATTAATGATATTATTTGACTGGAATAAGTCTAAGTGTGGTCATTCAGAGGTTTTTCTCTTTTTATGTTTTTATGTAAATTCCAGTTAGTTAACATACAGTATAATATTAGTTTCAGGTATACAATATGGTGATTCAAAATGTCCATACAACACCCAGTGCTCATCACAACAAGCGTACTCCTTAATCCCTATCACCTATTTAATCCATCCCCCCACCCACCTCCCCTCTGATAACCAACAGTTTGTTCTCTCTAATTAAGAGACCATTTCTTGGTTTGCCTCTCTCTTTTTTTTTCCTTTTGCTTGGTTGTTTTGTTTCTTGAATTCCACATATGAGTGAAATCCTATGGTATTTATCATTATTAAACTTAAAACATAAACTTTATTGGAAATGCAGCTCTTAGTGAGATGGATGGGGAAGGGGTAGCACAGGACCTTGACTTAAAGAAAATTCCTGGACATCAATTTTTGAAATTGTTGCCTTGCTTAGCACCAAGGGTTTTTACACCCTGAGTCAATGTACCTTAGTAAGATTTTTGACCTTTGAAAGGTATGCTTTCATTTTTAGAGACTTGGAAAGGGAAGTAGGAAAGGCAAAGAGAAGATGAGAGAAGGCAAATAAGTTTTTTTTGGAAGTAGTACTAAAGAAAGTTGAGGATTTGGAAATTGGTCCCCTTTCAGCTTTATTCATAATTATCAAAACCTAGGAAGGAACTAAGATGTCTTTCTGTAGGTAAATGTAAAAATATGCTGTGGTACATCCGTACAATGGAATATCATTCAGTGCTAATAAGATAGGAGCTATCAAGACAAGAAAAGACATGGAGGAAACTTAAATGCATATTAGTGAAATAAACCAATCTGAAAAGGCTACCTACTTTATGATGCCAACATTATAACATTCTGGAAAAGGCAAAACTATGAAGACAGTAAAAAGACGGGTTGTGCTAGAGGGTATGGAAAGGAGGGAGAGAAATGAATCGGTGGAGTAAAACAGGATTTTTAGGGCAGTGAAAATACTATGTATGATGCTACAATGGTGGATACATATCATTATACATTTGTACAGCACCAAGAGTGAACCCCAATGTAAACTGTGGACTTTGGGTGATTATGATGTGTCAGTGTAGGTTCATTAACTGTAACAAATGTGCCACTCTGGTGGGAGATGTTGATAACAAGGGAAGCTGTGCATGTGGGGGGGTGGAGGGTATATGGGAAATCTCTGTACCTCCCTCTCAATTTTGCTGTGACCTTAAAATTGATCTAAAAATAAAGTTTTTAAAAAATGTTGGGGGAAACAAATCCCATTTCCCCTATTTCCTGTATGTAAAGGTAACACCAACCTCTACAGTCTTAATGCAGGACAGTATCTCTTTCCTAAGCAGTCACTCTTATGTTAGCTCTGATGCTGTGGAAAGAACACAGAGCTGGAACAATATTGGTAATACAGAGCTGAAATATGGTCTAGCTCCACCCCTTAGAATCTCAGTGACCTGAGTAAGTCATGTAAACTCTCTTTGGAATAATATCTTCTTTAGAAGTTTTTTTTTAATCTTTTTTTTTTAGATTTTATTTATTTATCTGACAGAGAAAGACACAGCATGAGAGGGAACACAGGCAGAGGGAGTGGGAGAGGGAGAAGCAGGCTTCCCTCTGAGCAGGGAGCCCGATGTGGGGCTCGATCCCAGGACCCCAGGATCATGACCTGAGCCGACGGAAGACGCTTAACGACTGAGCCACCCAGGCACCCCCAAAAGTTTTTCTAAGGATTAACTATAGATAATATATGTGGAAGTACCTGGCATATAATAACTCCTCAGTAAATGTTGGTTGAGCCCAAAGCTTTTTCATTGTTCTTGGTCTGATGGACAACATCAGAGGCAGAGAGAGTCAGATTGCTTACAATGATATTCCTAGAAAAACATTACTATTTATATAACAACACAACTTGATCCTTGTTCATTATCATTATAGGAAAACAAAAACAAAAACATGCTCAGAGAAATTTACAT